CTGAAGATGCCGGCCACAGAGACTGGCGAAACGTTGGGAAGAACAACCTTCAGAACACGGCCAAAGAGCCCGAAAAACCCACAACAACCATTAGATCCCGGCCGTGAAAGCCTTCGCGAATAAGTTGCCTTCTTCTTAGTGCAGAAATGGGAGGCCTGAGTTTTTCATGTTACTCGCAGGAAACACTGATCTGAGTGCCATAGAATTGAGGATTGAGGAGCTGCGACATCACTTCCAGGTGGAACATGCTGTGTCCGAGGGTGCCAAGAATGTGTTGCGCCTTCTGGGTTCCAGCAGAGTTCAGGACCGCCATGCCATCTCTGAGGTAATGAGGGCTTCTCTGGAATTACACAAAGAAAACACAGGATAAAATATGAGTGATTTGAGGTCAGGGGGAAAGTAATGTAAGACAGCTAATTATCCTAGAACTGCAATAAAGTTAACATAAAGTTCACCCACCTTTTTGCCACTTCTTTTCTCTTTGCCACTTTTAATAAAAGTATCATGAAGAAAACTCCTAATGAGCAGAAATGTTAATGGCATGTATTCAATTTGTCAGACTCTTTATAATCATGAGTCTGGCAGAAATTAATAAGACCACACCATTCATTCATGCTGTGCTTGAAACTCACCAGCCTGTGTGCTGTGGGGCTTACTATAGATTGACAGCTCCAAGAAGTGACCCGATCCTTTCCGTTTGAGTTTTGCAAAGGCATGCTCTGCTGCTGAGACTTGGCATCTTTTGAAAACACAGTGGTATGTGAATCGGGGGCTTTAGATCTCCAGATTGTGTAACTATGCCAAAGGGAACTGTGTCTCCATGTCCTTGTTCATATCTCACAAGGACTATGGTCTTCATGCAAGGTTGGGAGCTGAGTGGGTGTGGAAAGAAGGTGAGAGGTACATCAACCCCACATTAAGTAGCCATGGAAAACCATGTTTTCATCTCACTGTCTGAGTCTCTGCTGTAGGCACAGACCAAGCTGAACGAGTCAAGCCAGAAGCTGGACCTTTTACGGCACTCTTTGGAACAGCGCCTGGCTGAGTTGCCCCAAGATCACCCGAAAGGTTGCATCATCAAGGAGGAGCTCATTCTAGACTCCTCCCCTACCTTCAGTGTCCGCAACAGCACTCCGTATCAGCACAACCACTACAACACCCTCTCAAAGCCTTCTCCACTAACAGGTAATTTCACGGCTGAGCTTGGATTAATATGCTTCCAAAGCTCATTCAGTTCACAGTTTTGGGTGGTGTTCACACTGTTCTTCTTTCTCCTTGCACTCCCTTTTCAAACATAAGTTGAGCTATAGGACTTCTGATTCCCATCCTCTGGCTTAGTGTCACGAGGATTAATTGGTCCATGACTGATCTGTTTTGAATGTTCCAGATGAGGGTCCATTGGGTCTTCCCCTTGGATTCTTAGCTGTCTCTTGTTGGCAGGGACCCTGGAAGTGCAGCTGTTGGGCTGCAGTGGGTTGCTGGAGTTTGTCCCAGGACGCACCCGTGGATCCACCGTCTCCCTGCCTTGCAATAGCCCCGGCTCTTTCATGAGCCGCAGTGGGCGAGGATTGTACAGCCGGAGTGGTAGTGTAAGCGGACGGACTACCATCAAATCTGAAGATATCAGCAGTGAGTAGTCTGGGAGCCTGTGGCTGTGGTAGAATGCAGAATCGAATGACTTGAAAGGGGAAAGAAGTGGCAATGAGAGAGAGGGATGTTGGTGGGCCTTCCGATGCTGCATGGGGTCAGTGCCTCTGTGGCCTTCTCTTAGCGGCTCAGCCAACATTAAATGGAATCCTTACATTCTCCTTTTCGTTTTAACTGTTGTCCCTCGCCTTTTGAGCTTATTGTCCCTCTTTCTCTCGTAGATGAGGTGAGTGCTGTGCTGAAGCTGGATAATGCAGTTGTCGGCCAGACAGCCTGGAAGCCCTGTAGCCTGCAAGCCTGGAACCAGACTTTCACAGTGGAGCTGGAGAGGGTATGTGCAAAGATGTTGCCTTCCATAGTGTTTCTGACTGCTCAGCCAATCTGTGGTGAAGGGACATTCCTATTTTGCATGCCTGTGGGGGAAAATGGGCAGGGAAGCCTCATATAGGTGGCCTCAGATTTGCTGTTTACTCTCTTTCTCTCTTTGTTACTCCAAAGTCAAATGTGTAGCTAACTTTGGGAGAGAAAGGAAAGTCTGTCAGATATCATATGCTGATACATACAGTAGTGGGATCTGTTAATTGCATGTGCCAAGGATATAGCATGAATCAGTAAGATGTTTTGCCCTTCATAGTCATCCTGACAGTGTTCCTGGTATTTTTCTGAAATCTTTGAGAGTCTTTACTTCAGATGGAATAAAATGAGAAGAATCTGTTGGCCCACTTTAATTGAAAACATTGATTGGGTCCAGGTGTGGCAGTTGTGGGTGGAATGTAGAATCCACACCTACTTGCTGCTGACCTTCCTCATGGATCATTTCCCTCTGTATCAGGCAAGAGAGTTGGAGATTGGTGTATATTGGCGTGATTACCGTAGTCTCTGTGCCCTGAAATATCTTAAGCTGGAGGACTTCCTTGACAACCAGCGTCATGAAATCCACCTGGAGTTGGAGCCACAGGGTACCCTCTTGGCAGAGGTAATGAAAAAGGGACTGGAGCAAAACTGGGAAGAACTGAAATCAGACATATAAAAATAATGAAACTTTATTCAGGGATTTAGATAGTCTGGTTTCTTAGATGGATGAGAGGAGTCTTTTATAGAATGGGGAATACAAGTACAAAATATCTGACAACGGGAGAAAAGCAGTCTACACACAGATGTATGATGTCCCCTTATTTGCAAACTTCTTTTCAAAGTAGAGGCAGCCCTCGATATGACAATGGACTTTATCTCCTATCGGCCATAGCTAGCAGAGTTAGAGTGCAAGGAATTTTAGTCTAAAAACGTGAGGAAGGAGACAATGTCTCTTCCAGTTTTAACTGTAAAAGCATGAGGAAGGTGACAAATTGGCTCTTCCAGTTCTAACTGTAATTAATGTAGGATAAGTTATTTGGTTCTTAATTGATTCTGGTTCTAAAGAAGCATTCACAAATACCCCAGTGTCCAATGTTTAAATGGTACCTTATGGTAGATTATGTAAAAATAAAAACTACCATGCAAGAGTTGTTTGTGGGCCCTCTCTCCCATATTTATTTCTATTTTTCACATTAACTGGAATATGAGGGATTGGGGGGAAAGGAAGGCTGGAGAAAAGGAAGTGGTGCAGCTTTATTTTTGCTGACAATATTTTGGGAAGTTCTTCACAAAATACTGCAAAATTCTAAGTAAACTGAGATAAATAGCAAATAAATTTCAGGGATTGCATCACCAGAGGTAATGGCCACACATCCAGGATGAATATAGGGTAGAACAATGGCCTTTGGTGGAGACATAATAAAGACAGACTCTGTAGTGGCACAAAGAACTTAACACTGACAATAGAACTTGTGACCAGATTTAAACTAAAAAAAAAAAAGAGTACAAAGAAGGTTTAAAGCAATGAAGACTTCCACAGAGAAGTTACTTTATGAGAGCCTATGTTTGTTTATGGTTAATCTGGGCCTTGGGATGCTACCCAGGGAGACAGTGGAGTAACTGAAGTCTAAACATCTTGGCTTTTGTTGTGTTTGTTCCTAACTGAATGAAGCAACAAACTCTGACCTATGTATGCACTCCAGAAACAGCATTGTGTAGTTCTGCTTTTGAGTTCAGGATTTAACACAAAGTTGGAAAGAGATTTGCCTCCTATTCTTTTAAGCATTATGATACTAGTACTGATAAAAAAATTATTCTGCTAAGTATTCATCTGTTATTCTCCCTGCTTTTAAACTGGTTTTAGCATGATCGTAATATATTACAATATTCTGTTCTTTACATTGTTTCTGTTCTTGTATTTATTATTTCCATGTATGTGTCCATCATTTTTAGGCCATTTTGAATTCATTTATTAAAAATAATCAGTATAGAACTGTTTTAAGTAAAATATGTGTTCTAACTCTTACTCTTCGGTGCACAGCAGGCAGAAAGAATCAGGTCCCTCCAGCTGGCATTGGGATGCCATTCCAGGCATCTCTGACCACTGGCTGTGCTGGCTAGGGTGGATGTGAGTTGGCATCCAACAATAGTATCTGGAAGGATACTGGATTCCACTCCTGGTGGAGAAGGTCAGTGGTCGAAGGTGTATCCCTCTTAAGCTGGCTCACTTTTTAAGCCGTTGAGAAAGCTGTGAGCCAAGACCCACCATGGTTTCAGATCAAGAAAGAAGGAACTCTTTCATAGCTGGTACTGTGGTAGAAATACAATTTCTCTCCTCACAGGGAGACCACTTAAGTTTTGCATTATGATATATTGCTGTCTGTACGAGAAACTGCTATCTGGCTCAGCCTTATAACCTGCATAATAGCCTGGGCTTTGATGCCTTTTTTGTCCTGCAGTAATGCTGTGACAGGAGATTTCACCAAGTGTGCGTGCCACCCTTACCTAGCGTATGTTATTTCCCCTTGATATAGGTTACATTTTTTAACCCTGTCATCGAACGCATACCCAAGCTGCAGCGGCAGAAGAAGATATTTTCCAAGCAGCAAGGTGAGAAACTGGGTGCACTCCAAGAAGGGGAAATACAAAAAGATCAACTACAGCCTCCCCCATCTAGCTTTGTCTGGACAGGATGGGCCCATCCTTAGCACTCAGCATTCACAGATTGGTTGTGTCATGCATTTCTGTCTGGAGGTTAACATGACATATCATGAAGGGTGAATGTACAGGCTTTGCTGGCACTTTGCAAGAGAAGAGTTGCAGTAGTGGTCAGTCCAAAAATATTGCTGGATTTGTCATAAATGGATTGAAACCAACCAGCCTTCCTCACTGCAGTTCTTGGTGCCTAAATCACTGTTTTAATATAGCATTTAAATGTTCTTTTTTGAAAATTGATATTGTCATAATACTACATCATGATTTAACTTCATTTTTTAATGTACAAACGTATATAGCAAGTTCCTAGATTCAAAGTGTGTCAGCACATTAGCTCTGTAAACCTTACAAGACATAGTGCTGCTGTTCCTATAATGCATAAGTAGAAAACTGCTAACCCTCTGGGTCTGCGGCCTGGTGCAGGTCCGTCGCCTTGGCAGGACCAGGCCGTGGAGACAGATCTCCCACCCATCCCGCATACCCACACGCACGCACGGGTTCCCCACCCACCCCTGAGTGCGCCCCGCCCATCCACGCATGTGCGCAAGTGTGCCCTGCCCACCCGCGAGTGTGCCCTGCCCACCCACAAGTGCACCCACCCATCACCGAGTGCACACCACCCACTGCAAGCACCACTGCCCATGCACGCAAGTGCACCCCGCTCATGTGCACCTCGCCCACCCACGAGCAAGTGTGCACCTCGCCCGCCCACGAGCGCAGGGGTACTCTGCCCATCTGTGAGTGTGCCTAGCGCATGCTCACAGGCGTACCCTGTCCACCTGCAAGTGCACCCCTGTCCACCCGCGAGTGTGCCCCACACGTGTGAGCGTGTGCCCTGCCCACCCACAAGCTCAAGGGTGCCCCACCCCCCCATGGATTCCTGCCCTCCCCCCACCGGTCCATGGTTCGGAAAAGGTTATGGACCACTGCTCTAGATCATCCCTGATTCCCAGCATTTCTGACCTGTAGCCACACAGCTCACTTTCTTGACCATGACACTGCATAAGCCCTTGTATGAGTATGGATTTGCTCTTTTCAGAAGTCCTTACATTTTTTGTATTCAGTGTACTTGAATTTAGAACAGCAATGTCAGGAGAGAGGACGGTATTAATCTGGGATCTTTCAGGAGAAAAACTATTAACAGCTGCATTAATTTGCACTAATGAAGGCAGCAATGAACTTGCCTTTTCTATTAACAGAAGTATCTTGTATGTTCCAGGTTTCACCTGTAATCTGTGTATCTAATTCTTTGACATAACCCTAAAACCTGATTATCCAATAAACCTGACTGGTGCAACAGATAAAAGGAAGCATCTTTTCACACAGAACCTAGTTAACTAATAATAATAATAATGTGCTGTCAAGTCAGTTCTGAACTATGGAAACCCTTTTCAGGGATTTCTAGGTAGGGTGTCCTTCCCCTTTATTGAAGGGCACACTGGGACTGTGGCTTGCCCAAGGCCACACAGGCTGGTTTTTTACACAGTACCTAGTTAACTAATAATAATAATCATGTGCTGTCATGTCAATTCTGAACTATGGGGACCCTTTTCAGGGATTTCTAGGTAGGGTGTCCTTCCCCTTTATTGGAGGGCACACTGGGACTGTGGCTTGCCCAAGGCCACACAGGCTGGCTTTTCTGGGATACACAGTGGGGAACAGTACTCCCAACCTCCGTCTCCATAAACAGATACCTATTCAGCCAATTTAGTTAACTGATTGAATGTTTAATTGTGTTGTTACAAGATGAAGTGGTGTTCATTAGACTAGACAGAGATTTTTTAAAAATTGCAAAATAAATAATAATAAAATAATAAATAATAATAAACATGATGGCTCTTTATTACTCTAAGAATCTGAGACCATATGCTTCTGAGTGGCAACAGTGGACGGCAGAAGCAGATTTCCAAAAGGTCGGCTTGAGCCTCTGTGGAAACAAGATGGTGGACTAGATAGGCCTTTGGTGTTGATCAATCAAGGCTCCAGGGATTTTACCTCAGGCTTAGTACAGAGGAATAATTTAATTCTCTGCTTCCTTTTCCTAGGGAAGGCTTTCCTGCGCGCCCGCCAGATGAACATTGATATAGCCACATGGGTGCGACTCCTGCGGCGCATCATCCCCACCACTAATACCACAGGGACTTACAGCCCCTCAACACAGATGCCTCCATCGTCTGGCTCAGAAAGTAGGCACAGCTTCAACTCTGGGTAGGTGTCCATGATACCTGATGGTTACATCGCTTGGCACTGTAAGAATCTCAGTTTCTACACTGGGACGATCTAAGTTCTGTTCTTTGTGCTACTCTTGTCTCCTTTGTTAGGAATAGAGACAGTTGAGTTTGGGAGGTTTGGGAAATACATTTGAAAAGCCTGTATTGAGATATCCTGTCTTCTGACAACTGTCACACTCAAAGCCCCCCTTAGCTTTAAAGGCCATTTTTACTACCACCACAGTGACTAGATTTGTGTGTGTGTGTGTGTGTATAAGGATTATTCTTTCTCTAATTCAAAGTTGTGCAATAAGCAGGCAGAGTTGAGTTTGGGAGGTTTGGGAAATACATTTGAAAAGCCTGTATTGAGATATCCTGTCTTCTGACAACTGTCACACTCAAAGCCCCCCTTAGCTTTAAAGGCCATTTTTACTACCACCACAGTGACTAGATTTGTGTGTGTGTGTGTGTGTATAAGGATTATTCTTTCTCTAATTCAAAGTTGTGCAATAAGCAGGCAGTTTTTATTTTGTAAGCTCGAGAATATAAGGATTATTCTTTCTGTAATTCAAAGTTGTGCAATAAGCAGGCAGTTTTTATTTTATTTTATGACAGTTTCCTTCTAGGACTCAGTTTACAACAGTCATATCACTTTTTCTGAGTAAGTACTTGCCTTTATCTAAGATGCTGGTTGAAATCCTTTTGTGCACTTGCATGAACAGTGTAACTTTTGGCAGCGAATTCCAGTAAGTTAAGAAATCTCTATAGACATTATCTATTGAATACTGAGTTGTGAGGCTCGGCCCGCAATAGGTAATGTTTATAGAGATTTCTTAATTAATGGCAATTTGCCTCTAAAATTACACTGTTTGCGTAATTGCCCAACAGGATTTCAACCACTGTCTTGAGGGAAGAGCTCATATCTTCACCAGTCAAAGAGCAGTCTATGCCATGCGGAGGTGCCAGCATCTTCTGGAGATAAAGACCTAGTTGCTGTTTGCTCCAATTCGTCACTAATATTTCCCCCTCTCCAGGGACATTGCCATTGAGAAGCTGAGCTTGGAAGGTGATAGAGTTCAAATTGGACAGGAGGGCCAGGATGACAATGACCTTTCTGGAAAGGTCTCATTGGTAAGTCTCTGTTTTCTTTCTCTTATTTGATTTAGCTGTCCAGGAGCTGATCTTGCCCCTTTGCATTATAAACCCTTAAGCCCCTGTTTCCTCATGCCTATGTATGACTTTGTCACATGTCTCATTTTTCAGGGGCCACAAGTTGGGGAGGAGATTCCCTTCCAGGTGGAGCTGGGTCCAGGAAGTGAAGCCAGAGGATCTGAGGGCATTTTTCACAGGTAAGGGACAAACATTTGCCTTGCCACCAATGCATTCATGTCCTTGCTTTCCTGTTGGCTTACTTACCTTCTTCAGTTACTTCCAAAGTTCCTTCTCAGCTGTGTGTGTGCACACACGTGATTCCGCCTCCCTCTGCACAGCTTTCTCCCTTCTCCGTGCAGTGATCGTGTTCAACCCCTTTGGGGTCATGACGGAACCTTGTGAACTGGGAAGAGGTGGAGTCGCATGTCAGAACTAGAGATTACGTTGGTTATTTCTCTTTGCTCTAATATGGCCCTGACCTATGAAGTAGTAGCTTGCTTAGCATGTTGCATCTTTATCCCTGTTTCTTCATCAAAACATACCTATAGAACTTGACATTCTTTTTCTGGGATGTTGTCTTGAACTGAACATACAAACTAAAATACCCAGCCTTATAGGATCTTTGTAGGAAATCATTCTGTACTTAAATGGATAGCGCAATTTTTGTGGGTCACTTATTGCACAGCATCCAGGTGTCTCTTCTTTTTTCTTACAATACCTGCTTCGTTAACTCCCACAGTATACTGTGGCTTGAAAATAATGTCTGGAGTGTTGTCTGGCATGTGGACACATTAATGCTTCCAGTGCTTAAACCTTGTGATATCACTGATGACAAATGACTTGACTTTCCAAGCTTGGCCTGTGGACAATGCATTCCTATGGCAGCTGCTGTAAAAAGACAAAACACGGAGAAGAGCTTTGTTTTGAAAAATGCTTTTTCTCCCTCTGCTTGTCCTCATGCCAGGGAATGCATGGTTTGTGGGCTACATGTGGCCCCCAAGGGCATTTTGCACTCCTCTAAACCATTCCAGACCCTACCATGCCAAACAGTTTCGAAATTTTTGATCCATATTTCAAGTGGATGGGTAAAAGAAATGTTTCCTGCTTCCTGGATCCCTCTGAGTGGTGGTTTTTGCTTTACCATGCATGGTAGTGATAGTGTCTTCCACACACCCCAGCCACTGCAAGAATGAAAAAGCAGAAGTGATCATCTGGACAGTTTCAGTTTTGTTCTGTTTTTGTGGGGGAGGGTATTTCAGCCATTTTCAGTCCTAGTGTGACATGTGGAGGATACTGGGGGGTCAAAACATGACCCTATATTAGACCTGCTTTATACACTTGTTGGTAAAACTGTGTGGATAAATGATAGCGGTTATACAAGGGACCAGTTACATATTGTGTAGCTGCTCTGAATATGTCTTTTTATCATTGTGGTTGCCAGTAGTATCCTTGCTCTTGTCAGCCTCTTTACCAAACAATGGCTTGAGTCAGTTTAAATACTTTCCAGAAGAATTTTTGTATTAGAAATCTCTTCCTTAGCTACATCAGTCATACTCGGGACAAAGGGATGCCCAGAGCTGATTGTGATAATGATTATTATTAGTAATACTTCCTTAATGACCCCACTCGCCTATGGGAGGGGGCAGGGGAGAGATGCCATCTTTGACTTGTTCTTTTATCTTGTAGCAGCCACTTGAGAAAAACACCCATCACTGTGGATGATTTCCGTTTTATTGCTGTGCTGGGTCGAGGCCACTTTGGCAAAGTGAGTACACGCATGTGAGGTCCTAGTTGTTCCCCCTACTCCAGTACTTCCTGATATCTATCTACTATCAAACAGCACACTAGTCTTTTTCCATCTTAGCAGAAAACCATTTATCACGTTGCAGAAATTGAATGGGTGGTGGTGGATACCGCTGTCTTGTCCAGTCTAGACTCTTTCTGACATAGTCGTTTGCCTTTTTATCATTCCTGGGTGCCAGCTCTAGTTACTGATCTGCACTGCCCTTGTCTTTCTGGCGTTCACTTTGGGTACAGGTGCTGTTGTCGGAGTTATACCGAACAGGGGAACTCTTTGCTATAAAAGCTTTGAAGAAGGGTGACATTGTGGCAAGAGATGAGGTGGAGAGGTGAGTCCAATCCTTTCAGCCAAATAAATTCATAAGACCTCACTCTATTAAAAACAAAAAATATGATATCACAATCTGAGTAAGATCCCAGTCGGAACCCTCATTTTCCAGTCAGTTGATGTAGAATGAGTATCTGGCAGATATCCTTTGATTTGTATTCCACCTGTCATATTTCATTTGATTTGTATTCCTGCACTGAGCAGGTGGTTGGGCTTGATGACCTTACAGGACCCTTCCAACTTCATGATTCTATGATTTTACAATTCTATGAAGGCTTGAGGACACACATTATGTTCACATGCAAGGGAGATACGTAAGAGAATGGAAAAAGCTTGTTGCAGTCTGCAGGTAGAGAGCAATGTGCTGATGAGGCCACAGGGGAAAGTGGTTTGGGACCATTAAGAGCTGTGATTCCAAAGTTGTTGTCACCTCCTCTCTTCTATTCCTGCAGTGGTTCACTTTAGCTCCCATCTTCCATGCTATGCCTACTCCTCTCTTCATCTCAGCAAAGAAATGCTTGGGTTCCTCCATTCTACACATATTCCCCAGCCTACCACCCATTTTTAGGTCTCTAAATATACTGAGTCTCCCCTCATATATACACATGATGGAAATGCAGATACATTGAATGAGAAATTAGGGGCTCGTGGGAGGAAGGGAAGGAGCAAAGGAGGCTGTCTGACAGATCTCAGCTTCCAGGCCCACACTATCCCAGTGAGGGCAATCTTATATTCACACATAGGGATGCACATACAACTGGGAGTGTGGTCATACGTTAACAGTAGCTGTGCAGAGTTGAAGTTATGAAGGTGATAGTTAACATGATTGACTGTCAGTCAGCATATGATTGTAATGATCTGGACGTGGCATTTTCTCCTTTCCTGCTAGCTTAATGTGCGAGAAGCGGATCTTTGAGATTGTGACGCACGCCCGGCACCCCTTCCTCGTGAACCTCTTTGCCTGCTTCCAGACACCTCAGCATGTCTGTTTTGTCATGGAGTACACTGCAGGTGGAGACCTCATGATGCATATCCACACAGATGTATTTACAGAACCACGTGCCACGTAAGTGCTTGTGAAGGGAGAGGGAGGCACATCCAGCAAGACAAGCTGGGTTAGAAGGTTCTCAAAAGCCTCTTGCCTGGTACCATTTTAGATGTCATTCCCCTTCCAGCATACTGATAGAAGATTCAGGTTTCTTGATATCCAGCCTTATTTGTTTCATTTATTATGTAATGTATAAAATCCATATGATTCCAGCTACCTGGGATCTAGGTCACACCCTATTTATTGTTGACTTCTATAATAGGTTTGGGTATTACCCAAGGCTGAAATGGGGTTCTCCTTTGTTTTCTTCTATAGATTTTATGCTGCTTGTGTTGTCTTGGGCCTGCAGTTCCTTCATGACCATAAAATTGTATACAGGTAAGTATCACAGTTTAAGCTATTCTCTTGAAAAGCCTTCGTTCTTCCACAGTCCTTACCATATCCTTCCCTGTCTCATTATTGCTCTACACAATTTCCTCTTCCTGTTCATATAAATAGGGAACCAAAAAGATGAGTGGTATTCTTTCTTTCCTGCCAGGACTGTTGGATAATACTAGTGTCTCCATGTTGTGCCACCAAAATAACTCAGGATACAGGGTCCGAGTCCTATACTACAGCTCTTTCAGTAATGCCATAATCTGCCTCTGTGGCAATAGCAAATAATTACTGTAGAACATTAACAATCCTTTCTATCAATATTTTGCTTATCTTTCAGAGACCTGAAGCTGGACAACTTACTGCTGGACACCGAGGGTTATGTGAAGATTGCAGACTTTGGCCTCTGCAAAGAAGGTGATTCTTTCGGATGGGGCATACACCTCTTTAGTAGGCCTAGCATCCTCTAAATAAAAATCCAAACACAATACAATCATCTTGGAGAGGTGATAACAGGTGAACAGCTGTTGCCGTGCTTACCACTGAAGCGAGCTGCAGCTAACCCATGAAGGGTTTTGCCCAGTTCAGTGCTCTATGAAGTCCAAATACTATATTGCACTAGATGGCAATGTTAAAATCAAACATTTAATTGAGAAGGAATATCCTCTTTTCTGTTCCTAATTTCACAATCCCCATCCCACCCTAAATTTCCAGATGCATATTTTTCCACACACTTTGGAAATGACTGTTTGAGAAGGCATGAGTTAATAACAGTTTTCTCCTGTTTTGCCAGGGATGGGCTATGCTGACCGCACCAGCACATTCTGTGGTACGCCAGAGTTTCTTGCTCCTGAAGTGTTGACTGACACATCATACACTAGAGCAGTTGACTGGTGGGGCCTGGGTGTGCTCATTTATGAGATGCTTGTTGGCGAGGTGAGTCCCATTTACATGATTGTGTATAACAGTGAGTGAGCGAGTGAAAGAGACTGAAGCAGATATTTGGAGGTAAGCCATACATGTACAGTGGTGCCCCGCATAGCGACGTTAATCCGTTCCAGGATTAACGTCGCTATCCGGAAACATCGCTATGCGGGGGGGGGAACCCCGTAGGAACGCATTAAACTCCATTTAATGCGTTCGTATTGGGGGGAAAACTCACCTACCCCACCCACACCGGCAAAGCGCCGCTTTCAGAGGCTTCCCCAGTGCATTTCTACTGCCTATTTACCTGCTGGGGAAGCTTCTAAGTGCACCACCGATCAGCTGTAAGGCGGGGAGGGGGGGGGGCTGGGGCCTGGAAGATGGCTCCCGGCTCTTTTCTGGGACGATCGCTTCCCCCCCTCATTGCAAGCTGTGCAAAAATGGGGCATTTGCGATGGGGGGGGGAAGCCATAATCGCAAAGCAATTTTTCCCTATAGGGAACATCACAATGTGATCGCAAAAGCGATCGCAAAATCTTCATCGCTATGAGGATTCATCGTTAAACGGGGCACCCGTTAAGCGAGGCACCACTGTAATTGTGTGTATGTCCTGTTCGAAGGCAGCAGGACTTGAATATCTTGGGTGGCAGGGGTGGGAATGTTAAAGTGGACGTGTTATTTACAAGAACCTAAGCTGGAGGAATGTGTGATGAAGTGGCTGTAACTGTTTTGAGCAGAACATGCTGTGAAGTGCAGTGTAGCATGCCAACATATTTAGTTTTGATGGGTGTCTAAGAAAATGGAAGTGGAAATAAATGAAGTTCCTTCTGAAGAAAAGTAAGAGGACTGGTTTAAATAATAAGAGGTCTGGTTTTAATAAAAACGTGTACATCATTAATATCTGCAGGGAATTCTTCCTTTTCCCACAGTGGAAATTGATCCACTATATGGAGACATAGGGAAGGGCTTTCTCAGCTGTAGCCTTGCATTTATAGAGTGTCTTCAACTTAGATACTAAACTGGCCCTAAACTCTAATCTCATTTCAGCACCAAGTTGAAATATGGTTATTCACCAAGGCCGTTGGGGATTAAAGATCATGACTTTAATAGGCTGTGGAGGCTTTTATCATTGTTGGCTAATGTTTATGAAGTTTTTAATGTTTTAAATGTTTCTAAAAGATTGAATTGTTTTACATTATACTCCACCCTGAGATTCTATGATGTCAGGCATAATATAAATGCTTTAAAGAAATAAAATAAATAACACCTGTTTCAACTGACTTTGTAGTCGCCATTCCCTGGAGATGATGAAGAGGAAGTATTTGACAGTATTGTCAATGATGAGGTGCGCTATCCTCGCTTCCTTTCTACAGAAGCCATTGGCATCATGCGCCGGGTAAGACTGGGTATTTCTTGGCCTGAGGGTAGAGCCTTGCCAGAGCAGGGGAGAGTGTCACTGCCATCATACTAACAGCAGAATGGGACATTGAAGGGAAGTGGGGAGAGGGGTTGGAGTCTTAAGCACACTACCCAATATTTTATTGCAGCTGTTTTGTATTAATTCACATCTGAATAGTATAAGAAGATGTGGTGCACAGGAGCTCATAGAATACACATCCCTGGCTCCAGAGATGTGGCAGAAAATGGGAACCTGTTAACCTGTGCAAGTTTGCTTCCCATATGCTAGCCCAACATTTTTGATCTTTTTCCATTCAGCTATTACGACGAAACCCAGAACGAAGGCTAGGCTCAAGTGAGCGTGATGCTGAGGATGTGAAGAAACAACCATTCTTTAGGGTCAGTGTGAATCTGTCTCTACTTTTCCTATTGTCTTACTTCAGGATCTACTGAGAAAATCCTCCCTTGTTTTTCTGGTTATGTTTCAGTTTTTTAAACTGGAAAGCACTTATTTGGGGCTATTCCTTATTGATGAAATTTTAGAACCCCCTTACCAAATCAACCGTAAGAACTTACATGATGTCCTTCCCTTCTTTTAAAGGAATAGTAATGATAGTCTGTTTCAGTAAAAGCAATGATGTGCCGTGTTGGATCCTTAAAAGATTTTATGAGCAAGTATGTGTGTGTCATTGCTACCAGGTTACATCTAACATAGCTACCCTCATAGGCCTGTCAATATATGTGAGAAATTTAAAGGCTGATTTTACCAGTACCATCCCTGAGTCAGTTTTCATTGCTGAACAGTCCATGAAAGTCAATGTCCAAGTAAGTCTTGTGCCACTTTTTTGCATTTGCAGTGACCTTATTGTTTCCCAAAGTTGGAAACAGGTTATTGCCACCTTACAGGTGCAAGAATTCCTTAAGCACTTTGGGTGCAGGCTGAATTAAAGCTAAATATTTTATTGAATTATTTATAGCTTGCATTTTACCACATAAAGGGACTCAAGGCAGCTCACAGTATTAAAAAGGATAGAACTGAAACACACTAAATTATACATTAAAAATAATATAGATTTAAATACATTAAGATTGCCGGAAGAAATATCAACAACCTCCGATATGCAGAAGACACCACTCTGATGGCAGAAAGTGAGGAGGAACTAAAGAACCTTGTAATGAGGGTGAAAGAGGAGAGCGCAAAAAACGGCC